ATGTGGAATGGCATTGAAATGGCTTAACCATTGACCTGCCTAGGCCGACTTTTAAATAGCCATGTAAGTGAGGTCATCTCCAGTTGCAGCTGTAAAAATGTCAAAGCTCCTCTTATCAAGTTTCTGTAATTGCTAGCCATAAAATATTATTGGCGTGTTGGTTCAAGACTTTACGACCCGAATTCTATGCAGTAGCAACAGTAGCTCACAGCTGCCGCAGCCTGACATTTTGGCAATTACTACCCGAATATTTGCATGCTGCTGGAAAATTAGATTTTCCACTCATTTGCACTGCCAGCATATTGCGTAATCTTCTGCTTCACTGCATGACCCTGGGGGTGGCGACTGGGAGTGGGCGGCTGTCAGCCGAAAAACATACCAAAATGGGGCCATAAATAAAGAAAAAACAACTCACTCATTGTTGGGTTAACTAACAACGTTTTTCACACTATTTGCCATGTTCTTCAAACTGACAGAATGCAAAGTGACAGCATTAATTGTCGTAGGTCGGAACAGAGTTCTAAGAAAATTTGATTTATCATCGTCAGTCAGCCGACTCTTTCAGCAAAAAAATATAACAAATTATTTTAAACAATTTTTCAGTTACTATTTGACGTTAAAACGAAGCTGTGTGAATTTAAATAAGCTCGATATCTATGATTCCCAAAATCAAAATTTAAATATATTTTAAAAGATTACAAATAATAAGCAACTTAGATGACACAGTCTAATAATTTTTCGTAATCTTGTAAATCTAACACGAACTTTACAAAATCATAAAATATATTTATCGACACTAAACTATTTCCTTCCTATTAACAAAACCGATGAAAAATCGTATATATCTACACACCGATTTTTGTATAATTTTTTTTTATGTTAAATTGAATAAATTGCAAATATAAACGTATAGTTGACTGTTTTTTAAGAAAAATGTAAACAAATCTCGAAAAAACCTTAACACTTTTTTGCATTCACTCGTCCTTAAAGGATATGTCCTGTGATATATGATAATCACCTTTTGATTGAAACGATCGACACGAACGAGGCTCAAAACTCGATGAGCAAACAGCACAGAAATCCAAGTTGTAGATATTGTGGTTGGGATAACCGCACGCAACGCTTCACTTTTACCAACTGAACGCAATGACGATCTTGCCAGGGTTTATAGCTTGTCCCCAAAAAGCTAAATAAACCAAAACGAGTAAAAACCGCCAGTGGTTCGATGTTCGAGCGTGGCTCAAACCGAGCTCGAGTGGAGGCTTGGCTTAAACGAGTGATCGAGTGGGTTGCGGGACGACAAAAAAAGTATATAAACCTACCAATATGGCCTAAACAGCGGGAGGCTTTTTAGCTGGAGATGAGCTTGGAACTCAATCGACGGCTAATTGAGTTAGTTGCAGCTATTGCTGCCATTAATGTGGCAGTGTGCCACTGGTCTTGGGGTCCATAACTTTGAGTTTCGAGTGCATCTTGCAGCTTCGAACATGTTGGCACAGCAAGTTCGCTGCTTGAGTCTTTTGTTTTTCCTCTTTTGCGAAAATTAATAAATAAGTGTGAAAACGGCAAAACTCATCATTAACCGTTACAAGCTTTGTTTAAATAAATGATTATGCATTAATGTTTGATTTTATTTTAATTGTCGTGAGCTAAGCCGATTCGCCCTTGGGTTAAATTTAATTATTTATGCTTTTTTTACCTTTATGTAACAATTGTATATTTTTTGGACTCTCCATTACAAAGCAAAACGGTGTCAATAAAATCAATGGAGCTAAAATTGCTTCCGGCACAATTTGCTCATCATTAGCCAAAGGTGTTGAAGAAGCGAGCAAAATGGGCAGCATAAAGATAAACAGAAAAATGGAAAAAAAATAAAGAAATAAATATTTAAATTGTTAAAAACGAATTTCAGCTGCCTATGCGGGCCTACTCATTGTGATTAATGTGATGCCTTGGTTTACCTAATGAGAGCACAAGACAAGTATTCATTAATTTTCATTTTGCTCGGTCCAATAATATTGCTTAATAATGTTTGGTTGTTATCTTAGTAAGCACCTCCAATGCTGCTGCTCAAGTTCACCCCTACAAGGCGAATCAGGTTCTGATCTGTTCCAAGTGTCCTCTCACGCATCTCGAGCTCATCTTCAAATTGCATTTCGAGCATACTCGTACATAAAACATCGAAATGTACCTGTTGTGAGGTCGTTCGGCAAATTAAAATTTAATTGCATTTTCAGCAATTGCAAAGTGCGGTGGAGTGCCAGCCAACAACTTCAAATCGATTCGATATCGCTTCCAATTCGCCGGGACACCCAGTCATCTTTTTTAAATACTCTAGGCAAAGGTATAATGGAGATCAGAATTTATTGGGTTATTTTTTATGTCATTAATTTCAGAGCACCAAAGAATGCTTAGTTGGAACACCAAAAAAATGAAAGTGATTGAAGAGAAAAAACAATTTTGCTTTAAAAGTAACAAAATGTCAACTTTAACATAGGACAAACGAAGCTGTTGTTATTATAAAATGTCATTAGAACTGGCTATAAGAAATAACAAGAACCTAAATTTTACCTAATGAAAATTTTGATTTTTATGATGTATCATTAAAAAATTTACTACACCCAACTAAAAAACTAATTTAAATTCAACGCATATGTAAGACTGATGAATAAAACTGTAGGGATTATGATTCTAAACGAAAAGACATTTAAATATTTTTCAAGGGCTTAACCTCTATAAAGTCCAGCTTAATTTCGGCAATCCTATTACAAATAAAAACTAAATTTTAAAAAAATTTGCTTTCTATACATCGAAGCACACAATTAAATCTGGGAATTCACAAAGAGTATTTTAGGGTTCGCAGTTCCATATCAAGCCTGCATTTCTTGTTATTTGCTGTGACTTTGAACGCATTTGTTTATGTGATTTATGCATCCGATCTCAAAATGAGTCGGAGCAGCAGATGTGTGAAATCATTAAGTGTGAGCAGCGGGCAACTCCGATCGCCATAATGATGGAGCCCCGAACTTGAACTTGAAGAACGCTGACTTGCAAAAGGCCGCCGCACAAAAAACACACGAATCTGTCTCTGAAATATACACAATCCAAACGCCATATCCATGGCTGTGGCTGCAATTAGATCTGCACTCCACGCCAAATGGGTTACCCAGAGGCGAGCAACAATTAAAAATGGGTCTCGCCGGCAGAGCAATAATAAAATTTAAAACTCCGCTTACCATGAAGTTGATTGCCAGAGACCTTAGGCGTCATCGTCATGGATATATTATATATTGTAGTATCGTATCTACGAGATGCTGGGAGTTTTTGGCCCTCGGCTGATGCTCACGACCAGTGTGGGATTGTAACCATTTTCCATTGCCTGCAATTCCACTTTCCTTTGCCACATATATTTCACAAAATTGGCAAAATCCCACGCAGCCTCGCAGCCACATACTCATAATTGGGTCGCTTAATCTATCATTTGACATCTCCGATCCCCGATCTCCGCCGCCCTCAGTCAACTTTTTAATTACAATTGGGCCCATTGTTTGAGCTTTTTGTTGTTACGCAACATTCGCATTGCGTGGCGATTGCCAAAGGAAAGTTATCATTAGATTGACATAAAAACTCTTTATCGGGCTGATTGCGAGCGGTTCAAAAAATAGTCGGCCTTACAAAATCGGATTACTTATTTGATGTTTGCGATGCTTAATAGTGTAATTTAAAAAAAAAGGTAATTACAATTACTTCGCTATAAATGAAAAGGGTTAATAATACCATGTAGGTAAGTTAGTTAATATTTACTGTTTTTTTATTTTTAAAGTCAACCTTTAAAGCAATGAAATTAAATATTTTTAATACAAATTACAATGGATCTGTTATGATTTATGATCAAGATTTTAACTTTGTAAGTAGTATGTTGATAATTTTGGGGAAAAAATAAGAATTAGTTCCATTCTTATAAATTGTCTATTATTCACTTGGTCTAAAGTGTTTGAACTTGTTCTTGGAAATTATAAATTTGATAATCTTGGTTTTCAAAGCTAAATATATATATATTTTTTGGAAGTGGTAAATCTTTTTACACCTACTTCAAATTGAGGCATTCTGGACCATGATTAAGCATATTTTTCTCATGGACAGGTGGAGATAAAAAACTTGGCTGCTGTTTAAAAAGAAGTGCGGCCACAAAGCGTAAACAATGATAAATTACAATAACATAACATAATTAACTTTGGGCTGGTGCTGATGCTAATTAACTTCTTTTTTCCCTGGGCGAATACCCATAGATGTCGATGGCTTACCACTTTTGCATGTGTATACCTCTGAGGTTACCATAACCCAGTGACTGACTTTGACTGTTTACCGCATCACGTGGCGTCGGCACCTTGGGTTCTGTAACTCATCGCATCTCCATCGCCGAAAAACCAACATCTGTTTCGCCACTCTTCGTTGGCCAAAATGTCAGAGGTTTCTGCGCACCTTGTGGATACGGTCAGCCGCCGATAATTCAAAGCATTTTCCGCCATCAACAATTATTTATTTCATTTGTGTGTGGTTATAAGTATATTTTTTGTTCGGTCTTTTTTGTCAATTCTCAATTAAAAACCTTCATCGTTTTTGGCCCTGAAATATATTTGCATCAAATCGCTTGGGATCCAAAATTGTCCAAATAATTGTTTTGCTTCAGTTTTGGCCAAGAAAAAGGTTTACTTTGTTTTGTATGCTATACTTAATTTTTGCACAATGTTTTTTTAGCTAAACGAATATGGTCTTTGTTTTCATTAAATTAAATAAATAATTGGGTTGTGTTGTATGCTTATAGAGGACAAGATATGAAAATATTTGCCGATTAAATGTTGTATTAACGGATTTGGTAAAAATAAGTGTAGTTACCCAGTTTTTACCTTGTTTGGGCATTCGGTAAATTGCCCCTTTTTGTTTTTCAACTTCTTTTGTTTAAACACCTTTAAATAAGTAAGAAATCTGTTACTTTTCTAGCAGACCTCAAACCTATTTTCATTTTGTACAGCATTCAGATTTATGTATTTTACTTGCAAATACCCACTTTCGCGTATACACGTTGCTTTACTAAGCGCTGCATTGCGTTGCACGTGTGAAAAATAAACAAAAAAGTGTGGTACCTTCTTAGGATGGATTTTATTTAACGCTGGCGCCATTGTCATCCGCAAGCGAACCCAAATTTTCGGGGAGTCTTAACCAAAGCAGACAGTCTGTTATTGTTTCGACTGCGGTTCGTTGATGTGTTGTTGGCCAAATTGTGCGACAAAAATTCTGAGCCAGACACATGATTTGTTGCATTGTAGCACGATGTCAGAGCTGAGAGCTCGAAACCGGGAGCTCATTAGGCCGGGGGGTCCATTATGCAATCTCGTTTGCATTGTTCAGTTCGCTGGCAGCAGATGAAGATGATGGCGGCACTAGTTGGCCCGTCGTCTTGTTTGGATTTCGTTTTGCCTAGCTTTAGGTAATGTAAATTTTTGTCGGCATTCTAGGATTAATATTTTCTTTTTTTTTGCAAACATCACGTCTTAACATAACTTTTGAAAATAATTAATTTCAGCTGCAATTTTCTATTTCCTTCCAACACTTTGTTTTTTATATACTTTTTAAGCCGACGATAACCTATACTTTTAAAGATAACACGTGAATGATTAAAAAGTTAGTGGTTTAATTCAATAGGTATACCTTTATGTACTTCCTTATTACTTATTAGAATATAGACTGACTGTGAGTTTGGAGTCACTCTGCAGTAGTCTTACTGCCACTCATTGAGTTTATAGTCTTCTTATGTTTCTTAGGCGGTGAATTTGAGTTGGAATCATTCTGTGGGATTTCTTTAATTCTTGCCGGCGTACTACTATCAGATTGTGACTTTTCACTTTTTCGCTTGGACTTCTCATCTTTTACCGGCTCCTTTTCAATATCTGATCTCGAAGTAGAACCCTCTTGATTTTCGTCCTTCTTGTTCTTATTCGATTCACGCGGCCGTAAGAAGTGGTGGCTAAACTTCTGCATCACTGCATCTTCGCTTTCCTTGATAAAGTCCTGCCAGATCTTCTGCACTCCGATTTCCTTTTCGTACACGTCATACGCTTTCATATGTTCCACAATTTTCTTGGCCTTATTATAGGAACCGTCCACTGAGACGTCGGCCTTTAGCCACTTGTCCTTGATCTCATACTCAAACTTCCGCAACCGTCGAACTTCCTTTATCCGCTCACTCTTATCCACCTTTGCCTGGAAACAATAAATACTTAAGATTTTTTGATAGGGTGAGTAAGGGGATACTGAGAATTACCTTCTCCAGCAGAGAATCGTAGATGAGCCTCACATTGTTCGCATCCAGGCCAGACGATCGCTTACGCGCAAACACAATCTTGGCAAAGTCATCGTAAGATGTACTCGGCTGGACCACATAGGATTTTTCCTTGAGTATCTGTTGAATGATCCGCGCCTCTTCCTTTTCCCTTTTGGCTAGATGAAATATGCAACTTTCGTATATATCCCTCCGTTTCGGTTCGGGCACCGCTGACCATGTTTCAGTATCGCCAAACAACGCGTCGCAGCGAAAGTACTCAAACCGCGAGTTTATCTTGGACATGAGGAACTGCACCAGCTCCTCGCCCCGCTGTCGCATTTTATAATCATTGAAGATTTGCTTGCGTCCGTTGAGATACTTAAACTTCACATAACGCGGATCCTTTGAAATGATCTTTACACACTGTTCCCAGCTGGCGTTCGAGGGCACATTACAGTTCACGAGCAGCCATGTGAAGGACTCTATGGCCTCTTGTTTGTCCTTCAGCTCCACCGACATTTTGTCCGTTTCAGCTGGAAGAGAACGTGGTTAACTAAGAGTAGGATATAGTAGGAGATGGAAGGATGTTTTTACCTTTCGCTTGAAGCACCGGCACCTTAATCGACGCCAAGGTGGCTGTCAAGTTCTCATTGCGGCTGGCCACTTGGGACTCTGATTCTGTGGCGGCACCGATCACGGAGCTCTCCTCGCTTGACATGGGTGGCACCTCTTTGGTAGACTTTTCGGGTTCTTTGACGTTGTCAGGACTCAGATTCTTTTTCGCTTCTGCGGACGCATCATCTGATTGGTCTTTCTCCTTGGTATATGGTTTTGGGTCTTCTTTCACCAGGAACCATGGCCTCCATGGCCCTAATCCTGGCGTTGCCAAAGTCGAAGTATTTTGTAAAGGAGGAGTTCCTCCGCAGTCAGAACCTATTCTGCTGCTAAAAGCGGATTCAAAACCTAAAAATACAACAAATCTATAAAAATCGCAGGGGTGCTAATCGAAGTCAAGAGTGTCCCCGACTTATGTATGAAGTTTATAGGAAATATACATTGTACAACACATGGATCCATAAGTGTACTTAAGTTGGTTACCTAGGGTAGAAGGCATGGATGCTGGCACCGGTTGTTTCTGATCCATCAGATCGGACAGGGTAATCTAAAGTGGAGATTCTCCACGTGGGGTTGATGAAGTGTTGCTGGGAGACAATTAAAAGCCCTGGCCAAACTACGGATGGTCGCCGGAACGAACCTAAAAAGGGTGTTTAATTGTTGGAATAATTATAACAATAATTGGCTTACCTTCTCGCGAAGAGGTATCGCTTTCTTGATGTGAATCCGACACTACTTATTCGACAATTGGAAGAGTTGTATCTTTGGTCTCCTTTTCAAAGACCGTTTTCTTCCTGAAAGTTTTCTTTCTCCCTTCTTGGATCCCACTGTTTTAGGACAACATAAATATGACTCCCGCGAAATGGATTACGCTTTCTTGTCCACTTTTACAAATGGCGTCCGTACTTTTGCAATCAGTGGTGCACAACACCGCTATCGATATAATATCGATACAACTATGAGATACCAATAAAGTTATATCCTAAACTATCGAAATGCAAAACAGTGATCTTCGTTCTGGTGATCCAATTTGTTTATTTGTTTGACCAAAAATATTCATATTCAACATTCTTTTGCGTTATAAAGATTATTTATGTCTGCCATACATTTGAGAGCGCAAACAATTTTACTTTAAGTTTACATAAATATGAATGTTGGAGTCCCCGATCGATCGATTTGACTTTTCCACTTCCAGGTTAGTACTTCTTGTTATTTTTTGATTCAGGGTATTGTCGATAGTAATTGTTACACATCTGGCTCACTTCATCCTCGCATTCATTGATAAAGTCCTTCCATATTTTTCTCACGCCTATTTTCCTATCGTAGAAGTCAAATGCCTCCAAGTGCTCTACCAGTTTCTTGGCATTCCTGTAGGGTTCGGCTACTGAGACTTCGGCCCTTAGCCACTTGTCCTTAACCTCATATTCCAGCTTCCGCAGCTGCCTTAACGCCTGTATCCGCTCTCTGTTATCCTCCTTCGCCTGGAAATAAAATTAATTCAAAATTGATAAAGTCAGTTAGATATAACTCAGAATTACCTTCTTAAGCAGAGAACCGTAGGTGACCATCACATTGTCTTTATCCAAGCGGGCCGAGCGTCTATCCTGAAACACAATCCTAGCAAAGTCCTTGTAGGACGTGTTTGGCTGGACCACAAATGATCTTTCCTTAAGTATCTTACGAACGATTTTCTGTTCCACATCGGACCTTAGGATCTCAACATAGTCGTTGAAGAGATCCAGAGGTGTGGAATCGTGAGGTCCGAAGATGTCTAAAAATCGATAGTCCTTGGATATGATCGGGTAAAGCTCATCCCATTGCGACATGTAGGTGAGAATGCCTTTCTCATGTAGGGAATCGAGAAGGGCGACAAAGGCTTCTTTGTGTTTACGCTTTTCTCGCATCATTCGCTTTAGTTCTTCTACCTCCTGCTTTAGCCGCTCCTCTTCCCTCTTCCGTTTGGAACCACTTTTTACCGAGGCCCTTTCAATCGTCTTTGGAGGTACCACTTTTACCGCTTTGGCTGACTTCTCGGGCTCGTTGACTTTATTGTCATGGTTCTGATTCTCCTCCGCCACTGGTGATGTAGCCTCCAAAGGGCTTTTTTCGCTTGAATATAGCTCAGTGACTTCTTTCTTTAGAGCCCAAGGCCTCCATGGACTCATTGCTGGCGCTGCCATTGAATTACCAGGTAAAGTAGCAGTTCCTCCGCAGCCCGATCCGGAAAAGCTGCTGAGACCTGATTCGGCGGATTCTGAAATTTAAAACAAAACCAATATTAGTAAAGGGTATCTAAAACAGTTCTAAAATCAATAACATTGGCAATGGAAATGGCATTAGCCATTGGAAATTATAGGAATTCCTTCAAAAGATTGGCTAGATTCGCTAAATATTTTGGAATAACCTAAGAGACTCCGAGACTGACAGATATAAGACTCGGTAGTGCTGCTCGCTGCCTGATTGACAAGACCCCACGGTGTAGTAACGACTTGGGGTGTTGCAGTGTTGCTGGGAACCATTTGAAAGTCCTGGCCAAACTCCGGATAATCTTTGAAAGCAGCCTGAAAAGGTGTTGGCTAGTCATTATGATGTCGCATAATAACCTGGTAATTTTTTACCTCTCTTTGGAAAAGTTTCACTTTCTTGACGCATGTCAGGGGCATCTCAGTAGAAAGTTCATTAAGTTGGCTGAAGGACAATGTTCTTTCGTCCTCGATCTTCATACCGAACGCCGTATTTCTTATAGAGGTTTTCTCCATAATTTGCAATGTGGCGTTATTTTCCAACGCAAAATAAGATTCTTGCCACATGATTTGCGCTTTCATGTCCATTTTTAAAAATGGCGTCCGTACTTTTAGGGTCAGTGGTGTACTTGCGTCACTATCGATATAGTATCGATATAGCTGCGTAAAACCAATAAGTAGGGTATTCTCGTATTGCAGAACAGTGAGTTTCGATCAGGTTCAGATGTTGCCAGGGTTTCTTAATTTTATTAATTTGTGCCACATATGAAAATTTTATGCTAGCGCGCTAGTTTTATACCAAAATTGGTGATGATTCTAACATAGGCATGTCCTACGATTCATCTCAGCACTTACTAAGTTAAAAAAAATGTCATAGTATTGTGTGCCGACTAACATAAACACATAAATAAATTCCAACGTCAAATTTAATGATAAACGTTTACACATATCAACAAAAAAACATTTATTTTTATATAAGTAATCTTAAGTTGTTCTTTTGTACTATACGTTTTGTAGGGCTTTTGTTACACATCTTTTAAATTAATCTTACATTAATGCCCGAAATAGCCATATTCTTAAAATTCTTCGGACTTTTTTCAAAATATGCTTGTTAAAGCCTTCCAACCATGTGTTTAATGGTGACGACCGTCCTACAATTACCTGACCGAATTTTGATTAGGATATAATTCCATCGGCTAATAGTTAGATATAAATTTATGATATTCCAATAAATTGGTTGCCATGGCTGCGTAAGTACACACTATCAATTACCATACCATATCGCACCAATTTAATTTACGATAAGGACTGCACTCCAGCGAAATGGCTTCACCTCAATTGGGAAATTTATTTATTCGGATTCTAGCAATGATCCGCTACGGAGTAGATACTTTTCGCGGGTTCCGAGGTCGAGTTCGCTACTGGCTGAGTGCCCGGGATTGTTATGGGTCCATTTCCCTGATGGTGGCTATTGCCTTTGCCATGGGCATTACACCGTACTTGGTGAGGCGAAATTCGCAGGGAGAAAGTGTCTTGGCACCATCTTGGTACGGATTCCTAAATGCCATTTCTCGCTGGCTGCTGCTCGCGTATTGCTACAGCTACATCAATCTGAGCAATGAGAGTTTAATTGGCTACTTTATGAGCAATCATGTGTCCCAGTTTAGCACAAAACTCCACGACATAGGAGGCATTATAGTGGCCATATTTACCTTTATCATCCCGCTGCTTCTGCGAAAACACTTTCTAAAATCTGTGAAGACCATGGTGCAAGCAGATCAGCAACTAGATCGTTTACGAAGTCCTGTCAATTTCAAGGCCGTTGTGGGCCAGGTTGTCCTGGTCATATCAGTGGTCGTAATCGTTGATACTATCCTTCTGACCACCTGTCTAGTTTGCCTTGCCAAAATGGAGGTGTACGCCTCATGGCAGCTGATTTTTATTTTTGTATACGAACTTCTGGTCGTTTCCATCACCATATGCATGTTCTGCCTGATGACGAGAACGGTCCAGCGAAGGATCGCCTGTTTGCACAAGGTGAGTCCTGATAAAATAATATTAATACCTTTAATACAATAATTTAATATAAAAAACCATTAAAAGTGAACTATGAATATTTGGGGTATTGATAAATACCTGCAAAAACAAAGATGTTTTCTCAATAAATTAGACTTTAACTATTTCCGTGTTCAACGACTTTCTTTGTTTACTATTTGTCGTGTTTTATAAAAGCAATCCGTCTATCAACAATTTCAAGTTATCTGTAAAATATAACCACCCATCCAATCATCATATATCACCTGTCAATCAGAGTAATCCCCAGTTCCCTGTGCACAAAAAGCAAACTGAATGGAGAAATCTGATCAGCTTATGGCAAAGGCAATGGACAGGAACAACTCCCCTTTGACATCCTTCCCCATCATTTCCATACCACATCCACCCATTATATTCGAGTGTGACCAGATATGCGATTACTCGAGTGTCTCTTGATAATGAAGATAATGAATTGCCCGTCACGAAGCGAACTCACATGGATACTCGCACACTCGGCGACTGTTATCTTAATACTTTAAACAACTGAATTAAATTCAAGGCATCTGTGTTTTGAAGGACACAGTGATGATGATTCAGATTCTTTCTTTTCGTATAGGAAATATAGAGAAGAGAATATACAAAATAGTCTTAACTGGCCCTTTTCACATTTTAGGTAGTAATTATCACTTTTTAAGGATCACCTTTTGTGACTTAGGAGTCTTATAATAAAATTAATTAAAGTCAATATAAAGCAATAAGTATATTCATTTAAGCAATTGAACTGTTATTATTGACAGTCATTAGAAATTAAATATAACATAGTTTCTAACTACCTATATTAAATTATAATATTTTGAATGTTCACTTCCTGGGCTTCTAAAATTAAACCACTTGTCATCACTGGCAGCTTGACAGAGTGAGAAAACGATAACACTTGTTGCCATAGACTGCCACTTGTTGTTGTGAATCCTAAACAACATGATAATGAGCTTTCCTCAACCGGCATTTCTTTTTTATATCCTTTTTAGCCCACTTCACTTGACTCCACCCCCTCCCTTTATTATCCTTCAGCTCACTTCGTTTGCATCCGTCGCCTAGCAGTCGCTGTTTTCCGTTTTGGCCAGCCAGTTCGCGTTGGCACTTTCATCCGAACGGTTGTGCGAATCGCTTGTCCTGGCTCTGTTTTCATTTCCGCTTCCGGTTTATATTACTTCGATTTCGCCAATATGTCCGCGCTCCGTCGAGTGCGCAAATACTTTATATCCTCTCAGGTCTACGAGGCCCTGCGTCCTTTGTTTTTCCTAACTTTTCTATACGGATTGACGCCATTCCATGTGGTTCGTCGGAAAATGGGAGAATCCTACCTGAAGATGTCCTGCTTCGGCGTCTTTAACATCTTTATTTACATCTGCCTTTGCGGATTCTGTTACATCTCATCCTTGCGGCAGGGAGAATCTATTGTGGGCTACTTTTTCCGAACCGAGATCTCCACTGTGGGTGATCGCCTGCAGATCTTCAATGGTTTGATAGCCGGTGCTGTGATCTATACCTCGGCCATCCTAAAACGCTGCAAGCTTTTGGGAACCCTAACTATTCTGCACAGCTTGGATACGAACTTTTCGAACATTGGAATACGGGTGAAGTACTCGAGGATATTCCGGTACTCGCTCCTGGTACTGATCTTCAAGCTCCTGATCCTGGGCGTCTACTTCGTGGGAGTCTTCCGGCTCCTCGTCTCGCTGGATGTAACGCCTTCGTTCTGCGTCTGCATGACATTTTTCCTGCAACATTCCGTCGTCTCCATTGCGATTTGTTTGTTCTGCGTTATTGCCTTCAGTTTCGAGCGGCGCCTCAGTATCATCAATCAGGTGAGTGGGGGCTAGGGTTATCAGTACGGTCGACAAGTACAGGTAAAAGTAAATATTTACCTGCAGCAGGCAGGTGGAGACACCGCGTCTGGGGTGCGTGACGGGCTTTCAACGGAGGATTCACTGCTTTCATCGCCTATATTACTCAATCACAAGTCAAGTGTGAAAACTAATTTATGTAAAACCATGCTTACTCATAGGAGTGCAATGGACTTTATCGAACTAGTTCGTTTGTCAGGATTCCCTTTGATATTTTTAGTAATTAAGTTTGCTTTCTGGCGGTAAGGTGTGTGAAAGGCAAATAACAAAGCCTAGACTATTTGGTCAAAAAGTATTGTCTGCTGGAAAATGGATTAAATTTCTCCATGTCAATAGTTTCTATGAATAAATTACACTCAAATGGATTGCCTACTTTAAGGCATGCTTTGCAAATACAAGTTATTTTCCGAACTTGTTCAGATGAATTTTTAGTTGCTATCTATTATTACATGGGGGTGAGTGAAATCCCCTTGGGGGAAACTTGTGTTGATGCTTACGTACTTTTCCCCCAAAATTCGTACGAAGAGATTTATCCCCGATAGTAATACACACTATCCGTATTATAGTAATCATAAACTATTTTTAAATATATGGATATGCTGCGAATATAAATCAGTTCTACTTTTATTACTATCGTAACTTATAATCTGCAGTGAAGTTTATTTAAAAACATCTTATAAAACTTATGTTCAAAACGATTTCCCTAAAAAAGATTGTATTCAACTTTTCCCTTGGTGTGTCAATAACTAAATCATTTGAACAACATTCCGGAAAATTTTCATAAGTTCACAAACATATTTCTCCCTTTTTCGCCTCTTCCAAATCAACTAAAGAACTCATTTGCCCCCCATAACAAATAAAATGAATGACTAATTTCCTATGTCATTTATGGTGCCCATAATTCTTACGTTACTAACCAAATCTCATCTGCCAAAGGACACGCAATAGAAATGCTATAATATCCTGTCGAACAATTGACATAAATTCATTTGCGCATTTCATGGAAGCCATGAAATTAATTAGGCTTGTGAGGGGCACAATAAAAATGGTCTCTGGTCATTCATTGATCTAAATAGAGACACGAAAAACTTCTCTTTATGTTAGGGAAATCGTGGGATTACGCTGGGGAATTAATTCCCCACGCAGGGCGACATTAATTAAAATGCAACAGCTAAAGCTAATAGGTTAATGGTCGAAACATAAGCGGACAGCAGCTTGTCTAGACCTCTAGTACATATAAAATGGGAAAATTATTTACTTTTCCGACCCCACCCACAAGGTTCTGGTGTGTCCTGGTAAAATGCAAATCATTTGCGGTCCGTGGCGTCAGTCGCCGGTTGAAGCTCAAACGGAGCGGACATGGATATAGAAACGGCCAAGGAAACGGTGGATCCTTCGGATACCCCGGATATAGAAGTCGGTTCTGGACTGTGCCAGCCCCTGCGCCGTAGATTTCGGCGACTTTTTACCGCCAAACAGCTTTACGAGTGCCTCCGTCCAGTTTTCCATGTGACCTATATCCACGGCCTCACATCCTTCTACATCAGTTGCGATAGTAAAACCGGGAAGAGGACCATCAAGAAGACCATCTTTGGCTACATAAATGGCATCATGCACATCGCCTTGTTTGTCTTTGCCTATAGCCTA